GCAGCAGCAGCAAAAGAAGACGAAGACGAAGAAGAAGAAGAAGAAGAAGAAGAAGAAGAAGAAGAAGAAGAAGAAGAAGAAGAAGAAGAAGAAGAAGAAGAAGAAGAAGAAGAAGAAGAAGAAAAAGAAGAAGAAGAAAAAAAAAAAAGAAGAAGAAGAAGAAGAAGAAGAAGAAGAAGAAGAAGAAGAAGAAGAAGAAGAAGAAGAAGAAGAAGAAGAAGAAGAAGAAGAGGAAATACCACCTTGTAATTGAGGCAAAAAAGTTATTATTATTGTAATATATAAAACATCGAGGCGAAAATATATTGCAGTTTTCACTTGAAATATCTAGATAAAGAATTACCCCCTGACGTTATTTTTAAAACAAAGTCTCATAGCTCCACCTACACATGTTTAGTGTGAGGAGGCTTCAGTGGATCTTTCTACTTCTTTCTATGAGTGCCGTTCAATATGTTTTGTCAATTTTTTAATATATAAACTAGGGCTGTACCGACTATTCGCTTCGTATTCCCTTCGTATTCCGAATAGTAGACCTAATAAGTATTTGATATTCGGCCGAATAGTTGCGCCCCGGGCCGAATACTAATAGTGGTTACCTTACACCAGTTTCTGGACTGGTGAAAAATCAAACATATCAAGATTTCCCACATTGGTTCATACTGTCAAGCGTTATCTTTGTGCACCACCTACGAGCGTACCAAGTGAACGTCTGTTTAGAACAGCTGGAAATACCTTCAATGAGACAAGAAGCTACCTTAATGCTGACAACATGGAACGATTTTTTTTTTTTTTTTTTTGAAAGCTAATGCCGCTTTCATGGATTAATTAAGCTGTCAGTGACAATTTACAAGTTTCATTCCTAGGTATTAGTTACCACAGACTGACTGACTAAAGGATGCAAAACATGAAATGTTTTTAAATGTTTACTGTTCTGTACTAGTGTGAAGTAAAATTTCAGCGTACATTTGATATTATGGTTTTTTTTTTTTTAGATTCATTTTATACAGGAAATTTGAAGAATGGGCCTTAGTCTGATTAGTGGTAAGACAGAAGTAATGTTGGTATCACAGAAAATAATTATTTC